ACTGTGCCAAAAGAGGGAAACCTGTATTTCCCTTGTGTGTGAGAGAGTCCTCTAGTTTTCATCTATCAGATAAGTGATGTGTATGCGAGTACTGTGCAGTTGTAATTGCTGTCATTAGTATGTGAGAGACAAAGAGAGTGAAAGAGAGGTGGGCAGAATAGGTCATTGATTTCTCATTGGTAGCTTGAATCAACTGAGAGTGAGGTATAAGTCTCGTGTGTTGATAGCACTTCTTCAATCACTGTACTAAACTTTAGTCAGTAAACTGTCTATAAACAAGCCTAATGATTCTCCAGCTGAAGCATAACAACAATCAAAAAGCACAGACTGAAGGTCTAAATATGCATTTCCGATGGTAAAAGGTGTCAATTTTCCCTTCTGAGAGCAGGTGCAGCTGACAATTAATGTAACTGTCAGACAATCTGACAATCACGCCTACCTCATACACAAACAGTGAAGAATGAGGAAAGTTTGAACTTCTCTCCCAAGCTCTCTTCAAGTACTTCTTCACTTTTTGTGTGTACAAATTGAGTGCAGTGTTATTAATGACACTTATCACACCCTGACAACAAAGACACGGAAAAGACAGTGAATTCTTAAAGAGAGATCAGGGACGCAGCGGGATGCAGCCAGAAGGAGGATGAGACAACAGGCTTTTAACCCCATCTTTAAGCGTGGCCATCATTAGTTGGTGTGTTGCACAAGTTAGTTTGTTTCAACCACACTGAGGCCTTATGAGTGGGAACACACAAGGGTTGCATTAATTTGTTATGATTAATGTTTTGTCACCCGCCCACATTTTGGGGATGGTCTGCCTAAATTGAAACAAATGGGCTATTTCTGATCGTTAGACCCTTGTGACAAACCTATAATGATTTTCGAGATTTATAATATACTTGGACACATGTTGCTTTGAAGGGAGGAATGTATCACATTTTAAGGTTATTTCAAACAATAACCATGATGGAAAGATGAAAATAAAATCTGTCGATACAAACATTATATGTCCGTATTATCTTTTCATGGTACTAGCAGTCCAGCAGTGAAAGTTCTGCAGAGAGCTAGTGCCCTGCAGGAGGAACAGAAGGTGGCCAAATACTGATCATATTTTAAATGCACTGAGTATTCCAAAGCCATAAAGGGTCAAAACCAAGTCAGACAAACAACCTGCTTTTCCAATACGTTTTGCAAATCAAATACTGAGCTGGACAAGAAAAATCACTAAATACAGCATAAATCATTTGTAAATGTATATTCACCTATAATCAACCAGCCACTGGTTGCAGCAAACCTGCCGCCACTTATACAAATTCATCCGAAAACTACAGCTACCCAGTGTCCATCCATCATTTACTAGCTTTGATCCAAATCACTGTAGGTAGCACAACTACATTCGATATATAAAATTTGCTTAGTAATACTTTAATATACTGCGGTCATGGAGCTTCTGTGGTAGGCTGTACTTTCATTGTCATTTTCCCACCATGTCTGATGTTGCAGTTCCAGCAAGAGAGCGTGTTTGATATTTTGTGACTTGACTTTTTTCTTCAGCAGAATTAAGCATGCAATATATACAAACATATGATGCAAAATAGCTCAGTGTAATGGCCGGGAATGTTTAAATAAATATGAAGTATACAAATAGGGTGTGTCAATTTCTGCAACTGTGACAGATTAATTGTAATTTGCCACAGTAAGGGATTATGATTAAATATAAATGCAACACCTGGAATCACATGAAGCATAATTTCATTTCTGATTTGCTTCAGCACAACACAACGCTCAGTTTCACCCATTTACTGGCTGCCATTCCTTACTTTTAGAAGGCACACGCAGGTTGGACATGACAACCATCATTGAGTCTGCCTGGACCCTGAGGACATAGCTGGTCACATTTTCATAATCCAGAGGTTTAGCTGTGGAGATGACCCCTGTCCTGTTGTTCAGTTTAAAATGACCTGGAATCGAACAAAGATCGGAGCACATGAGAAACTGTAAGAAAGACCTTGGCCCTGTTTGCAACTCTTTATTTTACTACTTTTTTTAACTGATTAATCCCTAATAAAGGGGATTATCACAGAAATACAGTCAATTTAGTTGATTTTTTTACCCCCAAGTCAATGGTTTGAACAGACCCAAAACACCTCTGTGGCAAACACTTTTGTTTCCCCTGAGAATATTACTGCTACGGGCCTGGAGGTAGATTTATAGAACTCTGAGTGAGGAAGCAGTTAATGACTGACAGCTTCAATTTACATTTTTTGCACTCTCCAGCTCACAAGTGCGTCTTCTGCTTTTTCTGACCTGAGCTAACCTCACACCTGCCGGCTGTTCTTTCTCCTCCCAGGGTGTAATTATAATCTTCAGACTTTACCAATAAGTGTGAAAAACAGTCTAAAGTGGCAGGTATATGGCAGAACTGTCTCGTCTACTTCTAGATAGAGGGAAAACAGTGCCTGTGGCTGCGACATGTACCCTCCAATTTTAAAAAATAATCTGGGTGACTTTTCAGGAGTATTTTAAATACGGATTACACACAATTTGATGTTAGCAAAAATACACAGTTCTGCAGTTTTCTTTACTACAATGAAATTCTTGTTTGTAGACAGCACTCCTCAGACTGGGGAAGTCAACGCACTGGCATAAAGTTATCTTTGGTTTATATAGAAAAATAAATAAAAACAGGGACCAGAAGGCTTTTTACTTCAAACACAAGGCCTGAGTCATAATTTGAGTGAATGTGCTTGGCAGGGAGTATTGGGATACAAACACATTTTAGGCCTAAATGACTACATGGTATATGATCTGTAGCACATACCTAGTTCATTTCCCGCCACAATGGAGTAGAAAATTGTTTGATTGATAGCAGCAGCTAAAATGATCCCGACTGGTGTGCCAACTGGAGCCAGCTCACTGACTGGAGGAAACCTTTAAAGACAAAGAACACAAATCATAAGAAAAACGGTATTATGATCTGACGGATCAATGAAGCTACCCGACACAGTGGTAGACACCACAATATCACAGGTACAGTATAACAAGAGTTAAGACGAAGACAAAGGTTATCTTGAAAGCTACAGTACGCTGTATCTCCATACATCAAAAAAATAGTGTTTAGAATCAGTGCAAAATGATTAGGTCAGGGTTCATTTCAGTTAGACTTCTCAGATACCAAAGGTAATACAGAAAAATGACATAATACCAGAGGTATACAGCAGCTTTTACCCAGCAGTGAGGTTAAGGTCTATGGCTGTGTATTTTCCCCCTTAATCAAAAATATTTTTCTTCTTGCTTTTCATGACAAATTAACTGTTTCAGTGAGTCTTGTTAAGGAATATTTCTGCATTTCCTTCACATCTGCTTTGATTAAGAAATAAAAAAAAAACAAAAGAATTATAGCTTCTGAACAGAATAGCTAAACAAGTCATTTATTGTTCCAATTATTTTGTTTTGACATTTGTTGTCATTTCTTTCAGTAGTGTTACTGCTCACACAAGTCTCCAGACAACAATACAGTTAATTACTTTTCTCCTTCCTGGTAAATGAATAAATAAATAAACAGTTTTCCTCTAAGGGAGCACAATCTGGGGGGGTTGGGGGGTATGGGTATAAATAATAGCTTGGATAAGTGCCAGATCTCCCCACTTAACTCAGTAGTGAGGATAGAAACTATCACAATCTAACTGCGAATTTGGTGCATCAGCAGCAGTAATGCAGGCTTCATATCGGAGCACAATGGGGAGGCGAGAGAGCCGAGCTATAAAGCAGTGCTCTTATTTTTCTGCTTCCAAACTCAACTATAGTCATAAGCTTTGGGTAGTGCCCACAAGAATAAGACTGACAACTCATGCAGCTAAGGAGAGTTTTCTTTGCAAGGTAGCTTGTGTCACTCTACGTGATAATGCAAGGAGCTCGGTGATTTAAGGAGAACCTCTGCATTGAGCTGCTGTTCCATCTTATTGAGGGGAGCCAGCTGAGGTTTTTTTGGGGCTCTTAGTGAAGTGAAGTCTCCCAACTGCTTTCTTGTGCGTGTTTGGGGGTGGGGTGTTTAGAAATGACTGGCTGGGAAAAGACAGATGTACAGCATATAAAAGGTAAAATTAAATCTTTTTGGCTTCTTGAGACTGGTGGGCATTTTACAAAGAGGAGCTGGAAGAAGTGGGGTAAAGCATGTCTGGGCTACTCTGCTGGTCTGGATGCTGCTTAAACTCTGCAAGACAAGCTGCTAAAAGTATAATTTAGGGAAAAATACATTATAAACACAAATAAATAAAACATTTAAATTACTTTGAATTGTTAAGGTGGTAGGAGTGTAAATACACAACATATTTTAACCATCTCATGTATTCATTAAATTATTTTAACACAGACACACCAGTTTATTATTAAGATGAAAAAACATATCCAAACAAAACACTTGATAGTAATGGAACACAAATTGTTCTGGGAACAGATGAGTGTTTCGACTCTGATAAGTGAGACTTTGTAACAGCTTGACTATCAGGCATACAGGTGTGTAATCATATCCAGCAGATATGATTGTCACTCTTCATAGACATTAAAGCTGCCACAAATAGCAGTGCACCCTGGCTTAGTGGTGTGTCGCTGAGGACTGATTTAAGCTGATAATGTCTTCTTACAGTGACACCTTCTTGTGAGATTGCGGCTGCTTTCTCGCTTATTCTCTCATCACTGCATATGAGGCATGCGTATGAATTTATGCATGCACCGTGGTATGCCTTCTTTGGCAGTTTTCATTTCAAAGTTTGACTATTATTCACAACAGCAGTAAGAAATCAGTGTTTTGGGAGTTAATACTCCATGAACACCATAAGCTGTGACAGCCAAATTCCATTACACACAGTCAATGTCAGTGTTATAGGGTATTTTTGCAAGTAGACAATATCTTGGCAGTCTGAGTTATACACAAAAATTGGCAGTGATTAGACACCACCAGTCAAGGTTTGTGTGATGGTATTGAGAGCTTTCACCTCTCTGTTCTTTGTTGACCCCTCAGCTCCAACATATTTTACTACATGAATAATAAAATTATCCAAAGAACAAAAGCGTTGCACTGCCGACGTCTCCCTTTAGGGTTGATTTTTATGAGAGTATATAGAGCAACTCCTCCTTATTGGGTTGCGGTGGTGAGAGCTTTCACAAGGAAGATTGAACATTTTTCCCAGGGTGAAGATGAAGAGTAGGAAGAACTTATCCACACAAAAACAGAGAAGTGCATTTGTTGAAATGATACACAGGTGCTGAGACAATAAATGACACTGTCTTTGCTGCTCACTGGAGTAAAACAACTCAGTAACTTTTTAACACAGTTGGTAACAACATTCACTATAGAATGTGTTTACCTCTCTCAAAGTTTCAGCGGCAAACAAAGGTGTAAACAGAATGTTCCTGAAGGACACTGCACAAAAAATACCTGTCTGTGGATTCTGGAGGCTGCATTTACTGTCTCTGGAGAAAAACAATCAAGAATATTTTTGGAATAATTTCGGAAAATACAAGCCATCCCCCTGGACAGAGGATGATATAGCACACCATCCGGAGAGATAATACTGCTGATCCTATGTTGCCATGAAATGAACTGCACACCCTCATAGAGCCTTTCAACGAAAACTGCAGCGCTTTTATTGACATATGAATAATGTGTTGCTTGGAAAATACTAAAAGACTTCTGTTGAATTTTCCTCCAGCTGTACTGTTGGGCTGTTGCTGAATAATTGCCATCTTGGGAACATCCAGGAGCATGAAGCTGCACCTTTCCCCACAGTGATTGGAACCAATTTATTAACATGGCCTTCACCTAAGTAAATTACCTGTTTGGCTCAGGAACAAGCTGACAAAAGCACAGAGGCAAGGCCTTGAATAAATGTGAGCACAGTGAAATGCAGCACAGCCTAACATGTAACTATACTGTAAATCAGTCACAAATGTGCCATTCACTGGAACCAAAAGTGACCCAATAGTTGAGGGAATGTATGTGCCTTCACTTTAAATAGACTGTTCAGCAATCTGATGTCTGTTCTGTGGATTCGATGTCCAGATGAGACTGCTTTCAACACACACACACACCGAGTATTGTCTTGCTGCTAAGTGGCTATGGTTGGAACCAATACAAGTCTGACACACAAACTTGTTTACAATGAAGGTTACTGAGCACAGATTCAACTGGTGTGTGACTTCTCAGTCCAAAAAGACTTGAGCAAAGGATGATCCCTCAAATCCTTGCTCATGGCTCCTCCAGCAGCCTCCTTGCTCCTCAAAGCAGATTTAAGTGTCTTGTGACATCCTCAATCAAGGAGCAAGGAACAATTATATAAGAGACATAAAAAACAGATCGTCTGTTGTTTTTCTGCTCTGCCCACACTCACCTGCTTCCTATCTGTACTTTAGCACTCATACATGGCCAGATTGCTTACGTAGAACCATCACTAGTGACCGTCCAACATTCATCTCTGCGTTCCTGTTTAGCTGACCTGTTTCTTACACTGGACTGCAACTTGCCGACTCCTGTCTATACTGTTGGACTCAGATGTTCAGACGCTTGTTTCTCCTTGTATCTGGTCAGTTGTCTTCCCTTGTTTTTCTCAGGCTGTTCTTTGAGTGCGAGTGGGGTATGACAGGCTGTGTTGAACTCGCACTGGGCTGCATGTTGTGATTGCCAAGAAGAGGCAGAGCTGACGTTATCACTTCCCAACAGTGTCTCTGCCTGAGGGTTATAAACTGCTAAGAAATGCCAAGGGGCGGTGTGATGGTGTATGAAGTGTGCAGATTAGTATAAAGGTGTTTTCACATGTAGACGGATAGCATGACAGGTTAGATACAGTAGATACTAATGGGTTGATAGACCAAATGGGCAAACTGAAGGACAAATAGAACTATGGACTGTAGGGGCATAAAATGTGACAGTAGGATGACAATCTAAACAGCTACTTTACCACAAACAATCCAATAATATTTGATAATTAATTGGGAGAAGTTATTAACTAGCTGATATATTGAAACTTACAGTATGTAGTAGGTGAATGCAAAAACTCATTATGCATAATACAGTACCATAAACTGCTAAGCAGGACCAAAGCCACTTTTCATTCCTTTCATATTCAGATGAGGAAGAATGCCATCCAGAGAGAGAGAGAGCAAGAAGTGAAAGATGCTGACATGTCTACAGGCAGCAGCAGAGACTCCCAGTGTCAGTATGATATAAGGGCAAATGACACACCACTGAGAAGCACAGGCGGCACCAAGGTGTCAGTGAGCACTCTGCCCCAGGGCCAATGGCAGAATGATGCTTACAAGACAAAGTAGAAGGTATAAACCTTGCTGCATGCCATAGGGGATGCCGCTACTAGGTGTTGACTCCCATTCTATCTTGCATTCCTTTTCTCTTCATGCACTGCATCACTGAGTGAACAAGTTCCGATGGACACACCAGGAGGTGCCAAGGAGTGACCTTACTAAGTTTTGTATCTGCTAAAGTCTGTTCTACTGGTGAATGTGTAGAGACAGTGCTGCATACAGTAGAGGACTTGAACAATAACAAAGGCAGACATGAGTCATTTCACTGTAGTGTGCTCACTAGCAATTATCATCATCAGAAACTACAGAAATGGATACAAGTACAGAGTTGCAAATGTGTTGCTGCACATTTCTGCCTGACTGCAGATGGGAGTATTACACTGCACGTTTTGTTCACCAATTGTGAATCGACCTAATTTGATAACTGTTGAGGTGGATATGTGCTTGACAGTTCGCTAGTTAGCTGTCGTGTCATCCTGGTGTTATCTTGTTTGTACCTGCCTGCAAGCAAATTTGACGAATCAAAACGACGACTCATCTGATTCGAACTAAATTACATAGGAAATGCACTGCAGTTCCTCCCTGAACACAAGCAGACCAAAATAAAAAATGCT